TTTCTGTGTCCATTGTGAGTGTTTCTCCCCGTGTTTGTGGGTGTAAGAGGAGGAAGTGGCCGATCCTTGACTCACCCATGCTCGCCCTACTGTACTGATGATTGAGAGAAGATATATGTCATGTGTTATTTAATATCTCACATTCAGTGTTCTCACATGTTTGTGTATAGCTTAGTGTCGATTTTCGCACAGAGAAGCGCCATGTTGTAACCTCATGTGCAGAAGGTGTGTGCAGTTTTCTGTGTGTCCTGTGTGGTCTTGAGCCCAGCTGTGTGTGGACCACAGGTCTGCGCCTGGACCACTGTGTAGCACCTCGTGTTACTTGTCACCCAGTGTGACCCGCACGTTTAATAGCTGACATTAGTCAGCCCCTTGTACAGAAAACTTTTTATGTTTGCCACTCGTGATGCCCTGCAGAATCGTACCCGCTACGATCAGGGCCGGATTACCGCATAGGCAAACTAGGCATTTGCCTAGGGCCCCGCGCATTTGGGGGCCCCGCAGTCCAAGGGGTTCAGGGGCTCATCCAAGACTGCACACATGGTGCAAGTGCATTATCAACAACTAGGTGGTCAGCGCAGCATGATGCAACACATGCTCTGAAAGACAGCTTTGCTGAAATACGTTCTGCTTTGATCCAAATAGCAGAGGATGAAGACCAGACAGCAACTACAAGAAGCGAAGCAGCCAGCTTAGCATCAAAATTGGAAGATTTTGAATTGGCCTTACTCTGTGTGCTTTGGGACTGTATACTGGAACGGTTAAATGCCACGAACAAGACACTTCAGAAAATTGAAATTGAAATGGCTACTTGTGCTAACCTCTATGCAGGCTTAGTGGAATTTGTAATGTTTGAAGAGAAAGCTAAACTGCTGGTGAAAGACTACAGTTACCGGGCTGATCATCAGCGGTCAAGGAAGAGGAAACGCAATTTTGAAGAGCCAGACAATGAAATTGTGTTGCTACCAAGGCAGAAATGTAAGACAGCTACATACTTTGTCATTCTGGATTCACTGATTACAGAATTGGTGAAAAGAAAAGAAATCTACCAGAATCTCAATGACAAGTTTGGATTTCTGTTCAAAATTACTACTATGCCAGATGCAGAATTGAGAGAAGCTGCATTAAAGTTGCAACAACACCTTTCAGCAGATGTTCAGGACACATTTATTGAAGAAATAGTTCATTTTTCTGGGTATATGAATCAGATTAAAGCTCCACCTGAAAAATGTGCGCCCTCAGCTGCTTTGAAACATTTAAGAAATGCAGGTATCTCAGAAACCTTCCCTAATGTTGACATAGTGTATCGCCTTTACCTAACACTTCCAGCTACTAACTGTGAAGGAGAACATTCATTTTCTGTTTTGAATAGAGTAAAAAACCAGCTCCGTTTAACAATGAGCCAAGACAAATTGTGTAACCTAGCCTTGTTGACCATTGAGTCTGATCTAACAAGAAATATTGATTTTTCAGAATATAATTGATGATTTTGCCAATATGAAATCCAGAAAAAAGTTTATTTAAGAAGTGCCTGTGAATATAAACAATTCTTTACTTTCTTGAGTTTGTATGATTTGATAGTCTTATGCATGATGCAATGATAACAATAATGGTCAGTATTTATAAAGGGAATAATAGTGCTGTAGTGGTTATGCTGAATATAATAGGTACATGATGTCACTACTTTAATAGCCTAATCTAGTAATACTATGCTGTCTTGAGTTTATTCTCTTTAAAATGCATGATTTAACAAGATAGTTATAATGGCTGTTGGTAAATGGTTTTGGTTGTCTTGATGTACTTTCCCTATTAAATTTAATCTAAATAGCCAGAATGTATTTAATTAGACCTTAAACAGGCTCACACCGACCCACCTCCCCCCCCCCAAGCTGGAAGGGGTCGCTTCGCTTACCCATAACTCAAAGGGGCCCCGCCAATCTGAATAGCCTAGGGCCCGGAGACTTCTTAATCTGGCCCTGGCTACGTTTCCCATCAAGATTTGTTTCACTTCACTTCTTGACCTTCAGAGCAGTTATATGTAGACGACCAGTCTGGGGATGCTTAGACTAACCTCTGCTGTAACTCCAACTGCCGAGAGAATGACGCTCGTCAAGCTGCAGTTAGCGCTGTCAACAGGCGCTGTGTCAGCCTTGTGTCATAGCTTCAGTGAGCAGCCTGCACAAAGATGTCACTTTGACTGTTAGCCTTCTCACTGTAGTATTGTGTATGATGTTACGACTTTCAGATGTTTTGCTTGAGTCATCCCTGCCACGACTCATTCCACACTCGCCGGCATTAACAGCCCCAGCGACAGTACCAGTCGAGAAATGTCCTCCTCAGTCGCTTGCCAGAAGAAGTCCTGCCCAGTTGCCGAGTACTGACAATGCCTCACAAGAGGGCACCAGAAGGTTGTGCCTCTGGTTGAGTGAACCCTGCAGCAAATACTACTATGACTGCTTCACCACTCCAGAGGAGACCGTACCCTGTTATGTCACAGCTCAGCTGCAGTGATGTCTCCTATATTGCAGTATCTGTCCAGACGCAGGAAGGCGTGCAGTGATGCCCCTCGATGCTCACTGCCTATGACCTCGAAGCTTTTTTTTAGCACACCCACACCTTTTTTTTTCTTCCCATCCTGTAGTAAGTTTCTTTTTCCATGTCCAAAAATATATTTTATATATATATATATATATATATATATAATATATAATATATATATATATATATATATATATATATATATATATAATAATATATATATATATATATATATATATATATATTATATATATATATATATATATATATATATTTATATATATATATATATATATATATATATATATATATATATATATATATATATATATATATAAGCTGGCCTAGCAAAATGTAGCCAGTGAGCCTACATGCCTAATTCCCATAGTTTCCACCAGAGGCCAGGCTTCTCGGTGGGCATGCCAGCCTGCCCACTCCTGCCTCTTTCTCACTCTCTCAGCGGCTTTCACTCATTCAACAAGGTCTACTCCTCTTTCCCTCACTGGCATGGACCTCTGGGACCATGAGCACAAACACACTGCCTGTGTACCCCACGACATTGCAAATAATGTAAGAAGCCTCCAAAGCCTTTATCATTGAACCCCGCCTGCAACAACGTGACAATAACCTTTTCATAAACACCATTACTCAACCAGTCCTACAGAAACATGAGTCTAGTGAACTAGACTTGCTTCATGTTGCGAGGACATATGTGGTATGGTAAACTCAGAGCTAATTCCAGTCTACCAGCCTCCAGAAGCAGTCTATGAAATGAAATCAAGTGATTTTGAAACATAAACCAAGCTGCAACTGGCCAAGATTCGTACCGCGTCACATTGCCCACCCCCCCGTGAGTAGCCAGGGCAACGTACACGATCCTCTAACATTACTTTACACTTGTTTCATGATTTCATTAATAAAATAGACTCTTGTGGAGGCTGGTATTCAGACGGGAGTAGACTGAAATTAGCTTGAGTTTACCATAACTACATATGTCCTTGCAACTAAAACAAGTCTGTGCACTAGACTCATGTTTTTTTGAAGGATTAGTGTGTAATGATCAAGCATCGCGTATGTTGAAATGGCTTCACACGGGGCTAGCAATGTGATGTGGGATCGAATCTCGGCCAGACGTAGTTTGTTGTGCATATTTATGCATGTGTCTATGTTTCTTCATATTTATAGTTTTGCACATAAATTCATGTATGTACATGAATGAGTGTATGTACGAGTGTGCCATGCATTGTCTATGCATGTAAACTTTTGTAAATGAATGTTCAAATTAACGTGTCCACATTTTTTTTATTTATATGTATATCATTAAGTGCATAAAATTTATGTATGCAAATGTATACGTGTCCGTTGAATAACTTTAATGTTGTATATGTGCGCTTATGATACTTGTGAGTCAATAAACTGAACACACAGGTCATACTTGCTGAGTGATTTCCGTAGATTTTCCTCCTAACTAAAACTATTGAAACGGCTGCCTAAGAAATCCCATTTGTTTCCTTTAAGCCTTTTTTTATCTACTTCTCACAGGCTTTTTTTTATCCACATTTCCCAGGCTTGTGTTTACTAGAGGTGGATCACTGAACACTGATATTTAAAAAAAAAATTCTCCGATAGGTTTGTTTTGTTGATATCGCAGAAACCAAAAAACCTGATCATTAAGAATCTTATACAAGTTTTCCACATTCTGAGTGTCCATTGTTCAATACCTGGCATGTTTCCCCCTTACACCTGCTGCCACTGTTCACCTACCCGTTAGTACGTACCTGGGTGTCAGTCCCTTGGGGTGATAGTACACCTTGAATAGTTATCAGACCCTTCACAAACAACTTGAACTGGTCTATATAACACTGAAACCCCAAAATAACTGCACATACCAATAATTGCATGATTGTTCCAACGTTCGGTACACTAGCATGTAAATTGAAATTGATTTAAAATTCTAATCTTATTTAAAAATAAACCTGAGAAAAAATTCAAGTCAACATTGCAAGTTACCCCGTAAGGAATACCTCAACTATTTACCTAACACACCAGTAATCCAGGACAGTTTTCCTGCTATATTTCACCACACAGGACGGGTTTGTCAAGTAAGGTAATAAGGTTTGCCAGCTAGGAGGCTCCAGCTGGATAATGAGACTTACGTCAGACGTTACACTATCGGTTCAGTAGTTATGGGAGACTCAAATTTAACCTTCCAACAAGACTGCACTTATTATTTATATGAAGACTAACATTTTGGGTGAGTTGTGTGTTTGTCCTTCATTCTGTTTCCTTGTTAAGTTTAACACTGACACCACTATCTCAGTTTCCCAGTCAAAAATAAAAACTAAATTAGTAACTGCCGCAGAACTTTTAAGAAATATCTTCAAGTGTTGATTAAATTATGTGTAAAAAGTTTTACCCTCTGTATTACAACATGTTAAGTGTTGTGAAACATTACGTGTCACCTGGACTCAGTGTTGTGCACACAGTGAACACTGCCACTAAGAACACAAGAATCTTCATAGCGCTGTTGTTGTCTATGGTGAATCTCTGAATGATGTCTCCTCCACTACTGGCTGCTATGATGATGAAGAGAGGCCTCCACCAGTGTCTGAAGCTATGGTAGTGAAGAGGGGAGCGCCACTATATTGCTCAACTCAATAATATTGCTCAACTTGATAAACTTTTAAATTTTGGGTAATGTCCTTGAAATGTTTATGAAGATGATGGAGATTCACCTCTGTGCACTGGCAGTAATGGGGAAGAACAACAATGAGGCCGTTTTGAAGCTGCTACTGTCATGGGAAACGCCAGGTGTATGTGTGTGTGTGTGTGTGTGTGTGTGTGTGTGTGTGTGTGTGTCTGTGTGTGCGTGTGTGTGTAATCAGTCTTCGGTGTTTAGTGTCTTCATTTGTTTCAAGTTCCACTGGCTGCAACCCAGTCTCGCCTTGGATTTCATTTCACTGTTTGAGAAGAAATATTTTCTACTCTAATTTCAGCATCAGTTTTGTTTACATCTGTGGCGACTTGTTGTTCATGTTATCTATCCTCATGAGTCTTTCTAAAACGTAATTAATATTGTAAGTTTGAAGATGTCATTAAGTATCCTCGTAGGGCACCATTCAGTTATTCCTCCTCCAATATTTTGGATTGTAACTTGAAAACGCCTTATCCGATCGGCTTTAAATTTTCAATACAGGTGTTCAATAGCCAGGAAAAGATTCATGCTACTATTAGCATGTGCAGGTTCCTTTTACAATGACTATTCCTAGTTCGAATTTTCATTCGATAACCTGAGATATCCTCTTCTGAGCGTCTGCAGAATTTCAGCTCTACTGTGTCACAGACGAAGGACGGAAATGTTACTAGAATGTGACGGTGCCATTTTTTCAGTTTTATTTTTAAACTGATGTTGTGGTTTTCCTAGAAATAACTTGATTGTGCCTTTTTTAACATCTTGAATCTTTAACAACTAATACATCATATAAAGAGGATGGTACTGAACATGTAAAAATTTGCCAAAACTGAAACATAGATAATAAAATTTGGAATCGTTGTATTCCGAGCATTAACTGCAGAATGACTCTTTGGATGAACTTCAAACATTGTAATCCACTCTCACTATCAATGGCACCATTATCACCTGTCACTATCACTGACATCATTATCACCTGCTATCACTTTCACTGGCACCATTATCACCTTTCACTATCACATGCGCCAGATACGTTTACTAACACCACCATCACAATAACACTAACAGCAGTTCACCATCACTTACAATTACATCATGCTTACTGGATTACACTGTGTGATGAGTCAGTGGTGTTTCAAACTGGTGGTTCACTGAGGTGTTTCACACATTGTAGTGGTTCACATAGTATGGTAAATCGCATTGTGGTGAGTCACAGTGAAGTGAGTCACAGTGTGGTGAGTCACAATGGTGAGTCACAGTGTGGTGAGTCACAATGGTGAGTCACAGTGTGGTGAGTCACAATGGTGAGTCACAGTGTGGTGAGTCACAATGGTGAGTCACAGTGTGGTGAGTCACAATGGTGAGTCACAGTGTGGTGAGTCACAATGGTGAGTCACAGTGTGGTGAGTCACAATGGGAGTCACAGTGTGGTGAGTCACAATGGTGAGTCACAGTGTGGTGAGTCACAATGGTGAGTCACAGTGTGGTGAGTCACACTGGTGGTTCAGGTGTTAAGATCGTGCACTTAGTGAGGTTCTTGAAGGTAAACGAAAGCTCCTCCCAGAGTTCCTTTTATTATTCTCTAAATAGAAGTACAGAACAGCAGCTTTAATAAATACTCTATAAATGTCAGTAATGATAATGAATTTACTCTCAGAAATAAAAGCTGTTTCACAGACACTTTATTCTAGGCAAAAGTGATAATTACTGTGACAAAGTTGTAGTAATTCCTATTAATAATATAATTTTTTATACTATTTGACAAATAATTATTTCACAGTAGGCTAAAAATGTTATTATTGTCTTTGAATATTAACCATATCAGGTTGTTTTACTTATAGCTAATAATGATAGAACATTTGTGATGCAGAGAAGTGACAATACATATTAAAATACCTAAGATGCCCCTTAAATAACTTAACTAGTTGCCTTGCTGTAGTTAGTAACATTAGGGGGAAAGTTTATGTTATTCACATGAAATTCAAACTAGCAAGTGATACTAATGTCTGATACTGCAGATTTTATTCATCTCTAAATAAAATCAATTCTTGAATCTGAAACACTCGAAATGTCTTTAATCTGCACCAGCGTTCATCCATAAATGGCCGCCTTAGAGATGTAAGTGAATCACAGATGTGACTAACGGTGTGGACATAGCAGAGATAATTCCAAACACTACTTCAGAGCATCAATACTAACTTTGGTCTTGAAACTGATCGTGTCTGTAACTATCTAGGAACATGTCATAGCTGGCACTTTCCCATTAGGGCAGGTAATCAAGGATACAGTTAATGGTGGATGCTAGCTGGATTCATTACACAGTGATGAAGGCGGTGGTTATGTTTTTTTGATTAACTGATGGGGTATTGAGGGGGGTTCATCCTAGGACACGCTCATAAATTCGCTCCAGACAAGCATCTTTTCTGTCAGTGTAATAACACACATCTGAGATAAGTAGCTTGTACCGGGTTCCAGTCCAGTGATGGCGTCAACACCACTTAATGTTCAGTCATCATGGGCAGCATCAGCCACTTCTTGTCCTTGTCGATGGTCTCTAATATCGTATTCCCTAGAAATACCGAGGAGTGGTCGAGGTGGGTCGAGGGACACCTTGACTTGATTTTGCATAAACTTCAGTAATCATAGTTATTCATGGGCCGGACTCAGTTATTCATGGGCCGGACTCAGTTATTCATGGGCCGGACTCTGAAGAAACACAGACTATCAGAATGAACCCACATCGAACTTGTATATTCAATAAATTTTATTACTGATTATATTTTACGAGTTGGTAGACATGATACTGTTGTTGCGTAGGTATGGTTAGTACAGCAAGTGTGAGTTGCAGGAGAAGTGCTTGACATGTAATAGAAAAGTGGTGTGCAACACAGAGCAGCAGTGTGCAGAGTAATAGTGTAGAGCTGAGCAACACTGTGCAGCAAGAAGTAAAATTGTGCAGATATATATTGCAGCAGCAGTGATGGATCATCACAACTGACAATCTTACCAACCTGGAGGATGGTGGTGGTGTAGATGTTGAGACTGTTGTTGCTGCTGCTGCTGCTGCTGCTGCTGCTGCTGCTGCTGCTGCTGCTGCTGCTGCTGGTGCTGCTGGTGCTGCTGGTGCTGCCTTCAGGAGTCACAACGGGGAGCAGGTCACTAATGGAGTTGTACAATTATTATTATTATTATTATTATTATTATTATTATTATTATTATTATTATTATTATTATTATTATTATTATTATTATTCAGCAACTGAAGTTTGAGATGCTTTACTGGCCAACAATGATTTCAATTAGTATTTTAAAAAACACATGTTTCTATCTTTTTGGACACTGAATTCACATCTAAACTTAGTTTTGCTTTAACACGTACAGATTCTGTCAAATAAACCCATCCCCCCACCCGGTGAACGATTTCAACAGGACATACATATCCTGGAAAAGAGATATCAGGGAACACCTGACTATCAGTTTGATAGTCGACTACTGCTGTACACTGCTGCTGGAGAGCCATACTGAACACAAGTGAAAAAGTCTGAAAACTCTTATGTAAATATGTTTGTGTGACAGTATGGAAGTTCTGTATATATATATATATATATATATATATATAATATATATATATATATATATATATATATATATATATATATATATATATATATATATATTATATATATATATTTATTATATATATAATGCAAAAGATCACAGTAAAACAGGTGATTTCAAATATGTAAAACAACCACTCTGAAAGAAGTAGAGAAATTCCAAGCGCTTTACGTGACTACTCACATTATCAAGGAACTATGATAATGTGAGTATCACGAAAGCGCTTGGAATTTCCTTATTCTTTCAGAGTGGTTGTTTTTGCATAATATATATATATATAATATATAATATTATATATATTATATACCATACACTTTACCAGTACACTCAACAGACTTATCCCCCTATAATTTTTGCACTCTCTTTTACCCCCTTTGCCTTTAAAAAAGGGAACTATCCCTGCTCTCTCCAAATCCCTAGTACCTTACCCCCCCCAACATTTATTAAATATTGCACCAACCACTCCAAAACTTACCCCCCACCTCTTTAAAAATTTTTTTTTAAATCCCATCAACCCCGGCTCCCTTTACCCCCTTTCAGGGCCTATGCCTCACGAACTTCCCCCACACTCCAACGGCTTTTCCCTCCCCCTACGATGTTATTCCCCCTTGCCCTATACACGAAATCACAGCTTCCCTATCTTCATCAACATTTAACAATTCCTCAAAATATTCCTTCCATCTTCCCAATACCTCTAACCTCCATTAATAACTCTCCTCTCCTATTTTTAACTGACAAACCCCTTTTGTTCTCTAGGCTTTCTTAACTTGTTAATCTCACTCCAAAACTTTTCTATTTCAACAAAATTTGTTGATAACATCTCACCCACTCTCTCATTTGCTCTCTTTTTACATTGCTTCACCACTCTCTTAACTTCTCTCTTTTTCTCCATATACTCTTCCCTCCTTGCATCACTTCTACTTTGTAAAAACTTCTCATATGCTAACTTTTTTCTCCTTACTACTCTCTTTACATCATCATTCCACCAATCGCTCCTCTTCCCTCCTGCACCCACTTTCCTGTAACCACAAACTTCTGCTGAACACTCTAACACTACATTTTAAACCTACCCCATACCTCTTCGACCCCATTGCCTATGCTCTCATTAGCCCATCTATCCTCCAATAGCTGTTTATATCTTACCCTAACTGCCTCCTCTTTTAGTTTATAAACCTTCACCTCTCTCTTCCCTGATGCTTCTATTCTCCTTGTATCCCATCTACCTTTTACTCTCAGTGTACTACAACTAGAAAGTGATCTGATATATCTGTGGCCCTCTATAAACATGTACATCCTGAAGTCTACTCAACATCTTTTATCTACCAATACATAATCCAACAAACTACTGTCATTTCGCCCTACATCATATCGTGTATACTTATTATCCTCTTTTTCTTAAAATATGTATTACCTATAACTAAACCCCTTTCTATACAAAGTTCAATCAAAGGGCTCCCATTATCATTTACACCTGGCACCCCAAACTTACCTACCACAACCCTCTCTAAAAGTTTCTCCTACTTAGCATTCAAGTCCCCTACCACAATTACTCTCTCACTTGTTCAAAGCTCCTATACATTCACTTAACATCTCCCAAAATCTCTCTCTCCTCTGCATTCCTCTCTTCTCCAGGTGCATACACGCTTATTATGACCCACTTCTCGCATCCAACCTTGACTTTAATCCACATAATTCTTGAATTTACACATTCATATTCTCTTTTCTCCTTCATAACTGATCATTTAACATTACTGCTACCCTTCCTTTGCTCTAACTCTCTCAGATACTCCAGATTTAATCCCATTTATTTCCCCCCACTGAAACTCTCCTACCCCCTTCAGCTTTGTTTCGCTTAGGGCCAGGACATCCAACTTCTTTCATTCATAACATCAGCAATCATCTGTTCTTGTCATCCGCACTACATCCACGCACATTTAAGCAACCCAGTTTTATAAAGTTTTTCTTCTTCTCTTTTTTAGTAATTGTATACAGGAGAAGGGTTACTAGCCCATTGCTCCCCGGCATTTTTAGTCGCCTCATACGACACGCATGGCTTACGGAGGAAAGATTCTTTTCCACTTCCCCATGGACAATAGAAGAAATAAAAAAGAACAAGAGCTATTTAGAAAAAGAGAAAAAACCTAGATGTATGAATATATATATATGCATGTGCTGTCTGTGAAGTGTGACCAAAGTGTAAGTAGGAGTAGCAAGATATCCCTGTTATCTTAAGCGTGTTTATGAGACAGAAAAAGAAACCAGCAATCCTACCATCATGCAAAACAGTTTACAGGTTTTTGTTTCACAGTCATCTGGCAGGACGGTAGTACTTCCCTGGTGGTTGCTGTCTACCAACCTACTACCTTGATATAATATATATATATATAATATATATATATATATATATATATATATAATAAATATATATATATATATATATATAATCTTAGCCAAAATACTAATGAAAAAACTTACGTGACAGGGATTAAAGAAACTTAAGATCAGAGCATCAAAAGATAACTTAAATCATTTAATTAGGATTCTGAACTGGATAAAAAGTAAATATTTGTTTACTAGTTAATTAGTAAAAGTAACATACCAGTATCAGTTGTAATGGTGACCGTCTGGTTTAAGGCAGGTCCCTCGACACCAGATGGTGTCACGGGTGTCACGCTCACGTCGTATGTGTCACAAGTCTCCATAAAAGTCATCTCAGCGAGCGTGTCCTTTACCTGTCAGTAATAATAGTCACCTATATATAATTTTTAACTACCTGACTGTATCTCAAATATCACTACAAGAGCTTATCACCACTCCCTGACCCTCTCCCTCACCATCCCCTGACCTTTTCCCTTACCACCCCCTGACCCTCTCCCTCACCATCTCCGACCCTCTCCCTCACCATCCCCTGACCCTCTCATTCACCACCCCTAGGCTCTTTCCCTAACAACACCCTGACCCTCTCCCTCACCATCCATTGACCATCTACCTCACCATTCCCTGACCCTCTCCCTCTCCACCCCCTGATCCTCTCCCTCACCATCCCCTGACCCTCTACTTCACCATCCCCTGACCCTCTCCCTCTCCACCCCCTGACCCTCTCCATCACCATCCCCTGACCCTCTCCCTCACCATCTCCTGACCCTCTCCCTCACCACCCACCCCTGACCCTCTCCCTCACCATCCCCTGACCCTCTACCTCACCATCCCCTGACCCTCTCCCTAACCATCCCGTGACCCTCTCCCTCACCCACCCCTGACCCCCTCCCTAACCACCCCCCTGACCCTCTCCCTCACCCATCCCCTGACCCTCTCCCTCACCAACCCCTGACCCTCCTCCCTCACCATCCCCTGACCTTCTCCCCACCATCCCTTTACCCTCCTTCCCTCACCATCCCCTGACCCTCTCCCTCACCATCCCCTGACCCTCTCCCTCACCATCCCCTGACCCTCTCACTCACCATTCCCCTGACCTCCCCCAACCCCCACCCCCCCCCCCCCGTGACCACTCCCTCACCATCCCCCCGACCTCTCCCTCACCACCCCCTGACCAATGTCAACCACCCCCTGACCCTCCCCTCACCCCCCCCCCCCCACCCCCTGACCACTCCCTCACCTTCTGACCCAAACCCACCATCCCCTGACCCTCTCCCTCACCATCCCCTGACCCTCTCCCTCACCCCCCTCCCTCTCCCTCACCCTCCCCTGACCCCTCCCTCACCTCCCCTGACCCTCTCTCCACCACCCCGACCCCCCCCTTTACCACAACCTGACCCTCTTTTCCCCACCACCCCTGACCTTCTCCCTCGCCCCCCCCCCTGCCCCCCCCCCTCCCCTCACCATCCCTTGACCCTCTCCCTACCATCCCCCACCCTCTCCCTCACCACCCCCCCCGACACCTTCCCCACCACCCCATCCATCTCCCCCCCACCCCCCCCTGACCCTCTCCCTCACCACCCGACCATCTCCCGACCATTTCTGACCTTTTTCCCTCACCCTCCTTTGACCCCCCCCTCATCCCGACCCTCCCCCTACCACAACCCGACCCCTTCCCCCACCACCCCGACCCTTTTCCCCCCCCCACCAACCCCCCCCCGACCCCCCCCCACCATCCCTTTACCCTCTCCCCACCACCCCTGACCCTCTCCCCCACCACCCACCCCCCTGACCCTCCCCCCACCACCCCCCCCGCCCCCCCTCCCCCCCCCCCCTGACCATCCCCCATCTTCTGACCCCCCTCCCTCACCATCCCCCCGACCCTTCCCCCCATCCCCTGACCCTCTCCCCCACCTCCCCTGACCCTGCCCTCACCATCCCCTGACCCCTCCCCAACACCCCTACCCCCTCCCTCCCATCTCCACCCTCCCCTCACCACCCCCCCCCCCGACCCTCTCCCTCACCATCCCCGGGCCCCTCTCCCTACCATCCCCTGACCTCTTCCCCACCATCCCTGATCCTTTCCCTCACCATCCCCTGACCCTCCCCTCACCATCCCCTGACCTCCCCCCCTCACCATTTCCTGACCCTCTCCTCACCATCCCCCGACTTTTCTCCCCCACCAAAACCTGACCCTCTCCCCCACCACCCCTGACATTCTCCCTCACCCCCCTCTGACCCTCTCCCCCACCATCCCCTGACCCTCTCCCTCACCACCCCCCTGACCCTCTTCCTCACCACCCCCTGACCCTCTCCCTCACCATCCCTGACCCCTCCCCACCACCCCCCCCGACATCTCCCCCCAACCCCGACCCCCCTCCCCTCACCACCCCCCCCGACCCTTCCCTCCCATCCCGCCCCCCCCCCACCACCCCCGACCATCTCCCTCATCACCCCCCGACCCTCTCCCTCACCATCCCCCCGACCCTCTCCCCCACCCTCCCCCCGACCCTCTCCCTCACCATCCCGACCCCTCCCTCACCTCCCCTGACCATCTCCCCACCATCCCCTCCCTCCCCTCACCCCCCCCTGACCCCTCCCCACCCCCCTGACCATCTCCCCCACCCTCCCCGACCCCCTTTTCCCCACCACCCCGGGGCCATTCCCTCATCATCCCCTGACCCCCCCTCACCATCCCCAACCCTCCCCCCCACCATCTCCTGACCCTCCCCTCACCCCCCCTGGGCCCTCTCCCCCACCATCCCCCTGACCCTCCCTCACCACCCCTGACCCTCTCCCTCCCCATCCCCTGACCCTCTCCCCACCATCCCCCGACCATCTCCCTCACCATCCCCTGACCCTCCCCCACCACCCCCTTACCCCCCTCCCCCACCACCCCCGACCATCCCCTCACCACCCCGACCCCCCCCCCCTCCCCTCCCCTACCATCTCCCCATTTCCCCCCCGACCCCCTCCCCCACCATCCCCTAACCCTCTCCCTCACCATCTCCTGCCCTCTCCCTCACCATCCCCTCCCCTCCCTCCCATCCCCCCCGACCATCCCCCACCATCCCCTGACCTCTCCCCACCATCCCCCTGACCCCTCCCTCACCACCCCCCCGACCCTCCCCCGCCCCCCCCTCTGACCCTGACCCTCACCCCCCCCCTGACCCTCCTCCCCCCAATTCCCCCGACCCCTTACCACTTCCCCCGACCCTCCTCCCCTCATTACCCCGCCCATTAACCACTCCCCCGACCCCTCTCCGCCACCCCCCCGCCCCTCACAACCCCCTGAAAACCCCTCCCCAACCCCACGGACCCCCCCCCCATTTCCCCCTGCAAAATCTACTCACCGCTGGCACACAGTTCCTGGGTCCCCCAAATGTTGACACAATCTTAAAATCTAACATTGTTTGTTGTCAGTGGGGGGTCCCATACAGGGTCACCAGGGTGTTTTTTTACCACACTCGTTTTATGGGGCCTTGAAACTGAGTCAAAAATAAATAATGAAAGTATAAATTGTTAAAGTATGGAAAACAAATATAAACTCCATTATTCAACCAGGCACACACAACCCCACCCCGGGGCTAGGGCATACTCGACCCGCAAAACAATTAGGGGAGTACACTCACAAAACACCCCGAAAAAAAAAAAGAGTAAAAGCTTTGCAACAAGACTATTCCCGGGCTAAAGAGCTGTCCTTCGGAAGAGGTTAAGGAAATCGAACGACAACCTGAAGGACAGGAGGGATGGGGGGCCTGAAAACGACTTAAAATACTGAGAGGAATTGAAAAGGTGAACAAAGACAGGATATTCCAGAGATGGGACACAGCAATAAAGGGTCACAACTGGAAGTTAAAGACTCAGATGAGTCACAGGGATGTTAGGAAGTATTTCTTCAGTCACAGAGTTGTCAGGAAGTGGAATAGTCTGGAGAGTGATGTAGTGGAGACATGATCCATACATAGGTTTAAGAAGAGGTATGAAAAAGCTCAAGAAGCAATGAGAGAGTGGACCTAGTAGCGACCAGTGAAGAGACGGGACCAGGAGCTATAACCTGACTCCTGTAATCCAAATTAGGTGAGTACCCATACACACACAACACACACATGCATAGACACTGGCTCTGGGGGTAAGAGGTTCTTGCTATATATTAGGGTAACTACTTCAAGAAGCGGTGGTTGTGTCTTTGTACTTGTCATGTCACCTGGTGGGGTGTGCATGTCAGTGCCATCTAGGAACCAGAGATCACACTGCAAGCACAATGGATCTGGTGGCAGGGAAGTACATCTTTCTTGCCTTCACTACTTGTTCCTTAAATCTCTGACCAGGCACTGTCTTTCTGACCAGGCACTGTCTCACTTTCCTATACTCGCCACTTCACTCCTGATCACCTAAGTGGCTCTTCACTCATGATCACCTAAGTGGCTCTATCGACTGATGGGTAGTGCTGACTTTTTTATGTGATAACTATCATTACCAGTTATGAGTATACTCTTAAGCTAATTATAATCTTGAATATATAACGTGTTTGGCCATCGTCCAATGTCTATGTCTTAAGCTTCTCTCTCCTATCTGCGGAATATTTTTGTATTGTACCTAATGTCATATTGTAATATCCTTCAGGTTATTATAGGTGTTCTCTTAGCCCACAGTTCTAGTAATTACAGGCGTTCTCTTAGCCCACAGTTCTAGTAATTACAGGCGTTCTCTTAGCCCACAGTTCTAGTAATTACAGGCGTTCTCTTAGCCCACAGTTCTAGTAATTACAGGAGTTCTCTTAGCCCACAGTTCTAGTAATTACAGGAGTTCTCTTAGAACACAGTTCTAATAATTACAGGCGTTCTCTTAGCCCACAGTTCTAGTATGAATCACACAGGTCATGCGGGTAAACTATAACAAGAATCATTTTAACTATATTAGCAGAAACTATCACTCTCTGGGGATATAACTCAGTGAGTGGGTTACTTGTGTATAACTCTTCTTCTATCACTGGGAGCCTGTATACATGCAACTATACTCGAGTTGGTGTCTGGAACTTGACTGTCTTCACGAACACAATGTAAGTTGGAAGTCTTGACATCTCTTCAAGAATCTGTCCTTTGAAGACTGGGTTCCTTAATGTTATGAAGCTCTCTTGGTGGTGGTTGTCACTGCATCCAGTGATAATAGATTTATCTTGGGACGATTTAGATGGCTCTCTGGTGGCCACCTTGAATGGTTTATGATGGAAGAAGTATTATCGGAAGTTGCCTGCAGATCCAAGACACACTGGCATTCATGGTTGGAAACACACAGTTTTAGCTACTCGGTCTATTATTCACGCTCAACTAATCTCCCACAGGGTTGTCCGTTTTCAGGTTATTTCTCAATACTATTCCAGAGATTCCAACACTGCTGGCAACAACGGTGGTTGGAATCAGAGAACAATGGATTGTTTTTCCAAGAAGTCGCAGTTATGCTCCTGTACATCATCATTCCATCGCAGGCAACTGTAGAAAACCACGACTTACAAGTCTACAGATCGAACACACACGACTCATACATGGTTACCGCGTATGCAAACTATATTAATACCCAGAATTCTAATATTAATAGACTGTCCTATCTACAAGAAAGTTGGATAATTGCTATTAGAACCAGTTGGTCAAGTGGTCAGTTCACTGGCTTGTGAATTTTAGGATTCACTTGCCATGGGTTCGAGTCCCATCCGTTTTGTAATGTGTTCATAAACACTCCTACTTGGTCTCTCTTATCAAAGTTCCTCCAATAAAAATGAAATAATTACTTAGCTCTCCAGTAGTAACATTCACAATTATTGCATCACTTTCTTCACCAGAGAAGCCAAAGGAGAGAGTATAACAGATGTAAGTGGTGCAGGGATCATTGGGGCCGAGAAGCACGTCGTACTCGTAGTCCTCTGCTGCACGATGGGAATCTTCACTGATCCGTTTCATGTTAATATAACATGAAACGACATACCTGCAGAAAAGGACATAAACATTACAATAGGCAACAATTTTGGGTGAAAAGTTCTGTTTATATATCTTTGGTTACATTTCTCTTGTCTGCTGATTTTGAAATATATATAATTTATATTTCTAGCGTCAACAGCTTTATTACTTGTTAGGAATCTATGTTTCCATAGGATCAAAGATTTGTAGGACAGGAAAACACTAATTGTGCATATAAATT